GTATCGGGAGGAATTAATACAACCAGAAAAACGGTTCTGGATCCGAAAACTTGTCCTGCAGTTTAGGACTATTTGAGGACCAATTCATGACTCGCAGGACATTTTTTCAGGTGTATTAAGGGTACGCTTCCCAATTTATAATGTCTAGGTGAGCGCGACAACGCTCCAGACCAACTAAGGTAAGCGGGTGTGAGGAGGGCCCAGCGCCGAGCTCACCAGCGAGCAGGACGCTGCCCACTCAGTACATCCTATCTTTCTATCGCGAGCGAAGCGAACCGCGGCTGGTCACTTTTTATTTATTTTATTGGTACTCTTCTATATAATTAACTCACCTAAAAATGGTGAATGCACCTAAATTTAGGATATTTTGTAGGACACTTTCAGCGTTTGCAGGACATTTTGTAGGACATAGTCGACGGACATTTTTTCGGATGCATGACCATTTTTCTGGTTGCATTAAATCCATTCGGTCGTATGAGCGAGTGAAACTGGATTACTGCTGGTATGGCTTGTACGCGGACGTCGAGAAACATGTTAAGTCATGTCCCCACTGCAGCTCAAGTAAAAGTCGACCACAGCTACGAGGGTACTCTCCAGGCAACATTCTTGCCGAACGACCCTTCGAAATGGTGTCCAGGGACTTCGTTATACCCTTACCGAGGTCTCGCCGAGAAAATACTTCGCTTCTTTTGTTCCCGTGTTCATATACTGGCTTCGTCATAGCAAGGGCAATGGCTGACACGTTTGCACTCATGGTTGCACAAGCGTTCGAAGAGTGCATTTACCGAAAATTTGGTGCACGGTCTCTAATCCGACATGATCGTGACCCTCGCTCCATGAGCGAGGTGTTCCAGGCATTCGCCGATATGATGCAGTCCAGGTCGCGCGCTACGCTAAGTTACAGACCACAAGCCAATGGACAACAGAAAAGGTCGGTCAAGACAGTGATGCAGTCGGTAAAAGTGTAAGACAAAGACCCATTACAACAAGACTGGGACGAGATTGCAGAACGGCTGATATTTGCGATTAATAACTCGTACGACGCGACAAGAAAAGAGACGCCATTCTACCTCGTCCACGGATGGGACGCACACTCGACACTGCATGCAATGACGTCTTCGTTACGCCGAGGTTCCGCGAAGCAATCTGACGCGCTGGCGTGGGGAAGTGAATAGACAGCACGAAATTGCACTAGAGATGGCCAAAGAGTACCAGGTGGCAGAAAAGGTGCGAAGATCCAGAGAGCACAATGATGCGCTGAGCTGGAAGGAAAGGACAGCGTTGCCTCAACGATTTGACAGTGAAACTGCCTGTCAAGATGGTGTCGACAATGAGGGTGATGAGCAAGTGACTAAGTCTCTGTTCGAACCTGGAAGTCACGTCTGGCTCTATATGGAACGCGTTAAGCCTGGGCTTACCAAGAAACCCGCGCACCGATGACATGGTCCGTTTAGAATTAAGCGCAAGGTCGAAGAGTATGCATACGAGTTGAAACTTCCTGACGGAAGTGGATACCGCTTCTATCCGGTAGTCCTTGTCTCCAGTCTCAAGTCAGTAAATGAATTTAAAGACCGAACGAGGACTCGGTTGATACACGATGTAACTGAACAGTCGCGTCTCGACTTCGACGAGGAGCTCCTACCGGAAGATAGTTGGGAGCCTGATCGACTTGCTGGAGAAAGTGGAGTGAAAACCATTCTCGAGGACCGGATACCAATGTCAACAAGGACTGGCCGAGCCGTACGTGAATTCAAGATTCAATGGGATGACCAGGATGAGCCTACATGGGTAGCTATCACCAACCTGTCTTGTGGTGGCATGTTATATGATTACATACGACGAAAGCGAAGTGAACATCGCCTCCAGATGGTCCAAGTCTGATGAAGACGAGAACCGAATTTATGATGACCTGCCCTTGGGGCAATACAGCCCAAGGTCTCAGACGACCTGCTACTGCAGCAACTTTCATATTACATTTAAATTGTGAACAACCTCCCGGATGGAAATATAACGAAGAAGAAACATACAATGTGCATCGAGGGATCGCGGGTTGTATTATCACTGTTGCCAGAGACGATGACGACAGCATTTGGCTACTTACTGAGGGCTGATGTGACTCTACAACCGCGCTGGAGCTTGCAGTTGGAATAAAAGCTGGCGCTGGAGCCGCGGCGCTTGGCATATGGTGAGCGACACAGCCGGAACCGACTTGCCCGCAGAAATCGCCGATATTGCCGAACTTGGGGTCATGGACGACGTTGACGTCGATGCCGAGGTCTGGCAGCACAACAACAGAGAGAACAGCATCAACACACGATGAACAAGATGTTAGCAAGGTGCAAAGTGCGAAGACATACTTTTGTGATAGTCCTTGACGCTGCTGGAGTCGACACTGACGCAGGTGAGGCCTCACGCGACAGTTGAACAGCTGAAGAAGACATCGAAGCCAAATTCTTCATGACAAAGAAGAACAAGAAGCATCAAGACGGTCCATGCAGTCAATCCGAGGTGACTGTGCAGTGAGGAGTGACGAACAGCAGTATCTTATCGTTGGAGCCGAACTGGAGTCAAGGCCAAAGTGCAAGGCGACACGGCAGGATTCATCAAGAGCGCGGGACGACTTGGCCATGCAGCTGGACACGAAGGCGCCACGCCGCTCGCCAATGCGGTGGTTCGCAGCGCGGTGGGGGCAGTTGTGGTGTCGGGAAGCGCCCGAAATCCGAATCGCCCTCGCCGCTGCTGCTGTTGCTGCCGTAGGGGACTGACACGGATCAAATTTGTGAAATGTGTGGCCGATCGCTGATTGGCTCATCAGATCCCGCAGTGAAGTGATAGTCATTAGTACGAGGCAGTATGGCGCACACCACTGGATGGCCGTTGGACACGACTGGTCATATCCGGATGGTATCCGGATGGCAACTCCTCGAGACCTCGCCCAACTGTCGCCGAAACCTCGTTGGTTACAAGATCCACAACGGACAAGTTCACACTAGATATCTGTATATGACATATTAAAGAGTAGATAAGAAGATAAGCGCCTTTGTGCGCAACAAACAGAGCAGAATTTCCTCCAGATCGCACAAGTCAAGTCCGGCTGCGGTAAGTAACCGTAGCGACAGGTCAAGCTTGATCGACAGGATTATGCATGCTGGTGGACACGCTGGCTGAGAAGATCGATGTAGTGAAGCGCCAGTTGGCTTTTACGAATAAGAAAACTGATTGATGGGAA